CTTAAGGCAGGCCATGGCTTGATGGTGTTTAAACAGCTGCAATGCATCGACTGTCCTCGCATCATTTTAAATGTCAGTCGCTGAGTCACAGTTATAAGAGTACTGGCTTGATTTCAGATTTTTTCTGTGTTCTACACTGTTTTTTACTAGCGACGTTAAGAGAAGCCGACGTTAAGTTCTATGGCCAGCAATCGTAAGAGACTCATTCGTCTGCGTTGGTGGTCACACTGAAAAGTTGCGTAAAATACAGTCCACTTAACGCACAACGCAGAAGATACTGTGGCCAGTCATGTGACTGACCAATGCCGACGTTTCGGCCCGTGTCTCGTGAGTCTTCTTCGAAGTGGGTTGGAGGTGAAGGTTCGTAAATGCGATTGGTCGTCTGCAGCAATCGATAGTTTCTTTGCCAGAAGGCAAGCTTTCGGTCCGTGGCTGGTTAGGTAGTTTCTGAACTATAGGGTCATCGAGGCTCATCCAATCCACGCCGAGTTCGTATCCTTTACCACGATGACGTTATTGCAGGTCTGGATGATTAATTCCTCCTTTATCCGCCAGTGTAGCCAATGTCTCTCTCTGATGATGCCGTTTAACTCAGACCATCAGGAGAATGCCCTTGCTTGGTTGCATGCTGCATTATCCTGGAGGTCTTTTCGCACCGTTCCTCAACTATTATGAGGCGAGGCTTTATTTTCTTCCTGGGTGCTCCGTTATCACCTGTCGCTCACACTCATCCGCAATCATTTGTCTTCCCCAGCTTAACAGGTGGTCTTCATTCTCTGCCTAACGGCATTCCCTGTTTTTTCTGTGTTATATTTCCCGCAGTTACACCGTGATTTGTAAACCCAGCCTAGAGAGTTATCATTTTCAGAAATATTTAATGAAGCATTACGGTTATGATACACCATCATCTGATTTATTATATTGTTACTTCATAATCCTGCATGTATTTCAAAATCTTCTACTGTCAGAAATTCCAAAGTTAACTGCTACAAAATCGTTGTAACTAAAATGTTTAACTAGACGAAATTTAGGGTGGATCTCATGCAAATATGGAGGACGGAGGTCACTCGGGTACGGTGCCCTCGTGTGTTCGATCCTGCAGTTGCTGACCCCGGTTGCTGCTAGAACAGGCATACACACGATGATCGCCGTCAGAACACTGCAAGGCATCAGTCAGGTGGGCGTCTCGTTACGACGGCGACGGTAGCATATGTTTAATCCATTCTCTCAGGGACTGGCGTTTCCGTCCATGCAGGCTCTATGGAGCCAGTGGGCCCCTCCAAACGAGAAAGCGATGCTTTCTGGCTTTTCATTTTCTGGTTTGCTTCTATGACTATTTTTCCATCACGCAAAAGTACATTCGCCTTACATTTCAAGGTTGCTACTACGGCACAGCGATGGCCATTCCGTTCAGTACGTTTCTGGCTGAGTGGTTCGGATGGGAAGCCATATTTTACTTCGCCGGTAAGCAAGCGCTTCAGGTCTGTTCGTTACGAGCTAAACAGTGATTTTAGGGGGAGTTTCGATGATATGGGCTTTCGTCTGGCTCTTCACCATATCTGATTCGCCCTTTGCAGATTCGAATATCTCAGAGCACGAGCTCGATTACATAACTCTTGGAACGCAGAGCTGCGCCGGCAAGTCAGAGGTGACTGCTTCGCCTTAGTTGACAGTACATGCGTTCTTCAATCTCGCAGTTTCGAAGCTGAGTTCGTAGAGCTCTTTTAAAGGCTTGCGGTCGATAGATCAAAATTGCGTAATGTTATCGGTCTCTCGCCCTTTCCCATTCAAGAGAGATAAATAGGTGAAAAGAATTACATCCTGCAGTAGTTGCATACTTCTAGAAGTACGTCCTACCTGTTTCAACGCACAGTACTCTTTCCTGGTTGCGAGATGGCAACAACTTGAGGAAGTTTTTTTTAAACAGGGACTCGTTATCCGTTGATTATATTGAGGATGCAGGAATGGCGAAAAAATTATGGAAAAAACCAAACGAAGACCTGTTATCGTTTGCAACCGTTTCTTCTTTGAGGCGTTATGCGACTCCTAATATCAAACTGAGTAAAGTATATTCCTAATATCAAAAGCATAGAGATGAGCCGACTATGTGACTCTTGGTAAGCGCGCAAAGTGGTCAAGACGATTATGACGAAACAACAATCAACCAATTTTCCCAACCCTGCGCCAATCAGATATACTCTATGGATTTGATTCCAAGGCGGGACGATGCCAGCTTTAACTCCACAACGTTATCTGTTCCTCGATCAGCCTCTTTGCAGCCTGCCACGTTTTACTGCTCATATAGTCCATATAATGGGTTTATTAATAATTATCTCGATCAAGTGTTGAAACTGTCACAGTTGTCATCTGTTTAGCAGAAAAAGGAAACTCACATGCACTAGCTACATTCATTCCTTTCATGAACAAAGCACTTCTGACTGATGACGTCGAACTGAGGAACTGCATTTTTCCATGAACTGCATGTTGCATTCATTCAGGAAGGT